GAAATGGGAGGAAGTATCTCAGTTATCAGATTAAAATATTTTCCTGTCATATATGAAGAGCATAATAAACCAATCCCATTAAGTTGTGGTATAAAACTAGAGTGGAAAGAAGACTGGAAAATATTTCAATCATTCATTTAGACCAGTATTTGGTCTTTAATTTCCCTTCAGGATAAATTATTTTTGGAATAATGAAAATACTTCCCTAGTCAGTCACACACTTCATACTCTTAATCTTAATTTCCACTTGCATCTGAAGAACAAGGAGAATTTCTCTGCACTGAAGTCTATGCTCTATGTCAGGCAGGCATCCTAGGAGCCCAGACGGCAGGTTTGGGTAAAGGCTGCAGGTGCATGGGGAGCACTGTGTGCTTACTGCACAGAGGTAGGTGGCTGAGTCGCTGGGCTGGGAGTCTGTGATCAGCAAGGAGAAGTACTGGCTGTCCTTAAAAAGCTGTGCTGTAAATCTTCCTTCTTTTTTGTCTTCCTTGGAGTATATGGATATCAGTAACTCAGGGCCTTTCCCGAAATACTGTCTGTACCACATAAAATACTGAGAAGCACTGTCCTCCTATGTACAGTTGAGAGAGGCTATGGTTCCCTCTGGAATACTCAGGGATCCAGGACTCTGCTCCACCTTCTTCTGTTGGCTCAGTGCCCCTGTGAAAAAAGACAATGGTCAGACAAAGAATGTTGGTTGGATAGTAGATGCTTACTGTCCAGAATTAAATTATCTTTTTTTCAGGCCTCCCACCTCCCCCGCCTCCGGGACCTTCAATTTAGTTAAAGGAGAAAAAAAAAAAAAAAAAAAAAAGAAAAAATCATGTTTCTTCCCATAGGCCCAGAGGAGGAAATAACTCCAAATATCCTACTTTATGTTCTCCCATAGTCAGAGATGCCCAAAACTCACAGCTGAACTGAAGCCATAGGATCATTAATGAAACTCTTGCAGATTTCATCATTTTTTTCTCCTCCTGATTCACTGAGGATTCAAATTTTAAACCCTAAAAAATGAACCTAGCTCACACATTTTTAATTCTTCTGCTTTAGAAATTATACAAAGAACGTCTTCTACCAATTAGAAAAAGAGGTTCTTTTCACCACGCCTGCTACATTGCCAAGTCCCTCCCCACTTCCCTCTTATCTCCCTGTGTGTGTGTGTGTGTGTGTGCGTGTATGTGTGTGTGTGAGAAGAGAGAGAACACTTGAAAACTTTCTTCAGGGGGATCTCTGAGAAAACAGACATCCTGTGACTCATAAGAATGAACAAAGAAATAGTCAAAATGCAAAAACATTACGTGGAGTGGTAAAAGTGAAACTCTGACACTGGTTAAACTAAAAAATTGAGAAGTAAAGTCAGTGTGTGTGTGTGTGTGTCTGTGTGTGGGGGTGTGTGTGTAGGTGAAGGAGATGTATGTGTGTGTGTGTATTTTATATCAAATGACAACACTTGTCTGAGTAAGAGCAGTTAATTCAAATAGCCACCACCCTGCACTGGAGAATCAGGCATAAAGTATTTGATTACAGGAATCTGCATGAGTTGTTGGGATTCAAGGAGCATTTGCTACTGTATAATTCCTCTTTGTGTCAGACCAGACACGCCCTACACCACTCCCTCATCTCCTATTTTTTAAACAAATCTTTTCTAACTCAGAACTCTTTCAAAACAGAATAGCCTAAATCTAACTGAACAAACCTGGTTACAGCTCACAGCCAAAGCAAATATTTTTTAACAAGCCCAGGGACTGGAGGAGCTGGGAATTCTTCATTCCATTTTATACCAATGACACATATTATTTAAACCTTCTGTTTTAGCAGGCAGCTTCATTACTGCTGAGGGCTGGGAGGGATCCAGTTTCCCCACTGGCCTGCACTGACACCTGAGGACAGAGAGGCTCCTTGGTACTGCTGTGCAGGGTGAGGTTCAGGTTCCTTACTAGGCTTCTGCTGATACCACCTTGGCTGAGAGGGAGAGGATGGCTTATCACTCTCCCCAAGTGGCCTCCGAGGACACCATGGGGTAATGTGGGGGTAGTCTTGTTACTGCTCAGCTATGTGAAAGTTCTGACTCTCCGTAAGGCCTCCTAACGTTACTCCAGTGGGAAGGAGGAGGGTGCCTTGTTACTATCCACTGCAGGTGGACATCCAGGTTTCCCATGCTGCATTGGAGGGTGGTGGGCTGTCACTACCCAGCAGAGATGAAAATCCTAGCTCCCCACTCATCCTTCTCTGACACCACCCTGGTGAGTGTTTGGGGTACCTCATTATCACCTGGCAAGAGTGGAAGTCTAGCACACGTATATACATGTTTGTGGGTGCTGCATATATATTCATATATATAATAAAGCACATATAAGGGGCACAGTTATGGAGTCTCCCTAGACATATCCAAACAGCTCAAGGGATTAGTTTACTGGATTAAAGGGCTTGGGACCATAGTGTCATGGGACAGCTCAGCTAATTGGCATAACATAGTTCAAAAGAACGAACAGATCTGCCTTGGAAGAAGTACAACCAGAATGTTCCTTAGAATCGAGGATGATGAAACTTGGTCTCACTTCTTTGGACATGTTATCCCTAGGGACCAGTCCCTGGAGGAAGACATTATACTTGGTAAAGCAGAGAGTCAGTGAAAAAGTGAAAGACCCTCAACAAGATGGATTGACACAGTGGCTGCAACAATGGGCTCAAACATAGCAACAATTGTGAGGATGGCACAGGACTGGGCAGTGTTTGTTCTGTTGTACATAGGGTCACTATGAGTTGGAATCAAATCGACAGCACCTAACATTAACAAAAACGGTTCATAAAGATAATGTTCTACATCCTAGTTTGGTGAGTAGCATCTGGGTCTTAAAAGTGTGCTAGCAGCCAACTAAGATACAACTATTGGTCTCTATTCATCTGGAGTAAAAGAGAATGAAGGAAACCAAAGACTCAAAGAAGAAATCAGTCCACAGGACTAACAGTCCACACAAACCACAGCCTCATCTAGCCTGAGACCAGAACTATAATGTGCCCGGCTACCACACCAACCTTTATGACTAGGGACACAATAGAAAGTCCTGGATAGAATTGGAGAAAAATGTAGAACAAAACTGAAATTCCTAAAGAAGACCAGACTTACTTGGCAGATAGAGACTAGAGGAATCCCTGAGACTATCACCCTAAGATACCTTTTGAACTCAGAAGTGAACCCACTCCCAGAAGTCACCTTTCATCCAAATAATAGATTGGCTTATAAAACAAACAATATCACCCATGAGTACTGTGCTCCCTTAAATAATCAACTATATGAGACCAAATGGTCAACATTAACTCTAAAGCAAAGGTGAGAAAGTACAGAGGGGCAGGGAAGCTAGATTAATAGAAACAGAACAAACAGAATGGAAATAATGAGAAGGCTGACACATTGTGAAAAATGTAACCAATGTCATGGAACAATCTGTATAAAAATTGTTAAATGGGAACCTAATTTGCTGTATAAACTTTCATCTAAAACACAATCAAATATTATTTTTTAAAAATATAAAAATAATGGAAGTCTAGACTCCTCACTCAGTCTTTGCTGGCAGTAGTGAAGTTGGTGCCACAGTCTTTTCTGTGGTGTTTGGCTGGAGTAGACTGGTAATTGTCTTAAATTTTTTGTCTTCCTAAGCTGTCCCTTTTTTCATCCTTTGGCTAGAGAGAGCAGGCTTTACTTGGAGCTTTTTTATGTCTATGTCCATTGGCACTTCCAGGTGGCTGGCTTCTCCAGTACCTAGGTGGGATCCATGAAGCAAAAGAAAATCCAGGAAATTCAGCACTGTGCTGTTTGTTAGATTCCAAGGTTCCTAGTCAGTCTAGCTTTTTCTGTCCACCGTTTAGAATTTTCTGATGTTTGACTTTTATATAATGTCCAGAGTTTTGGGTTGTGTTAATCAAGAGGAATACAAAAAGTACATATAGTAAGTCATTCCAGAAGTGTAAAATATGATCCTTCTTTCTCTTAACTGCAACTCCAGGCCAGTCTGGTTGGTGTATCTTCCAGGAGGCAGCCAGCCAAAGTGGGATTAAAACTTAATTCTGGTTCAACCACCTGGATTCTCCTGTTGGAGGAACATGGTCCTAAATCAAGAGATTAACTACCACTTGGTTGAGTACACTGCTCACTGAGTCCCTGTACAACGGCCCACAAGGACTAAGGTTGTAAATATAGTGGGTCTCTGTAAAGGTCATAAAATACCCTATCCCTCTTGCTCCCGATCCTCCTAGACAAAAGGCTTGCATTTGAGTAGGACATGAGTAGAATGGGACACAACAATTTTATATTGGTGGAGAGCAACAACCCCAGAATCTATGATGGGAAAATCTTAGACTCTGGGAGTTATGAGAGGGTGCAAATCAATGCTCTCTGTCTGCTAGTACCAGCACCATACCCTGGCGGAACAACTTTATGATCTGCCTCAGCCAAGTAGCAGCAAGAGCTGACAAATCTGACCTGTTGCTGGGTTTGTCATTTTCTTCCACATGCTGTGAAAACAGAGTAACTCATGTGACTATGGCTTGTCTTTAACTGCTCTTCCGTGCCTGGCACTATCAGTGGAAGCTTCCCAGCAGGATCCCTCCCCCTCCACCCCAACACCCATGCGTGTACAAACACATGGATCAGCACAGCCTTGTTTCAATCTGACTGATATAAATTCATATGCTTCTTCCAGTGTCTGAGTAGCCTTGGTTTATGTCATGAATGGTATAGAGGCTGGAAATACTCCTTGACACCATTAATACAGCTTAACCAAACTGATCTAATTCAGATCCAAATTAAATTTAACAATAAATCTCAAACTGAAAAGAAAATCTGTGCCTCTTTTGGATATATGTATATGTCATGGGGAAAATAGGCCACAGAATTTCTCTCCGTTGGAAATGACGTTTGCTTTTTGGTCCCTATGTTGCCCTTATAATTATTCGCAACTAAACCAAAGATGAACATGTTAGCCTAAACTCATTTGTGTGGGTCATAATGGATAATGCATTACATCCTGGTTGTCCACACTCCAGCACACATTCACAGTTGGCTGAATCTGAGAACCAGAAGGCATAACTGAGCTTAATACTGCTTGTAGGTCTCTTTCTGCCTCTCAGAGCCCTGCTGATAGTAGCTTTACTTAAATATTTGAGACAAATAGAATGGATTTAGTCTAAATCTTGGCCAGTCATATTAATCAGAGAGGCTGAACTGCCCAATAGGGTTTCCAAGGAGAGGCTGGTGGATTCGAACTGCCAACCTGTAGGTTAGCAGCTTTGCTCTTAACCACTGTACCACCTGAAACCTGAAAAATGAAAATGAGTCAGGCTTGCCAAGATTTGGGGAAGAGCATTTCAGATGGAGAGAAAGGGAGGACTGAATGTGGAAATGGACATGACAAGGTCAGAAAACTGAAAGGAAACCAGTTTTGCTGTTATTCATAAAGAAAAATAATTAAGAATTGAAGTTGGAGAGTCATGTAGATTCATGTCATACAGAACCTTGTATATCACAGCCTGGAACTTGCATTTTATTCTAGGAGCAATAGGAAACCATAGAAGCATATTGGCAAGTAGGGACAGCTTCTGATCTAACCTTAAAAAAAAAAAAAAAATCACTGGCTACCAGTTAGATTGGTGCTTTTCAAACTTTAGGTGATTAGAATCACCTGAGAATCTTGATTAAACTGCAGAAACGAATTCAGTCGGTCTTGCTGGAGCTTGAGATTCTGCACAAGTTCCTAGGTAATGCCAATAGAACGATAGAAGGGTGATGCTATTGGTCCACACTTTGAGTAGCAAGGAAGTAGAGAACAGATTTCCATGAGAAAGAAGTGTGCCAGCAGGAAGATGAGTTAAAGTTTACTTGGACCAGAACAGTGTTTCTCATACACATTCATATATTCCGACTCGTAGCGACCCTACAGGACAGAGTAGTATTACCCCATAGTGCTTCCAAGGAACAACTGGTAGATTGGAACTGCCGACCTCTTGGTTAGTAGCTGAGCTCTTAACCACTGCGCCACTAGGGCTCCATATATATGTATACATACACATATACAGACATATATATGGAAGGTTATTATATGTCATAATATATATTATGAAAGGACACTTTTCCTTATTCTGTGCAATGCACTCTAATGTTTTCTAATTCTGTTTTGTTTTTTTAACAACAAAAGTGTAACTTCACAAAGGAAAAGAAAACTAAAATAGTGAAAATTTTTAACTTATCAAAACGTAAGTACTTTTAAAATAATAATATCCATAATTGGTAATGTATTGGAAAATCAACAGCATCATATGCTGCTGATGAGATCACAGTTTGCTGAAAAATTTCTTCGTGGAAATGAGGCATTCAGTGTCATGTGCTTTCCCTTAACCAAGCATCTTGATTTGTATTAAAGTTACAGTTTTAATGACGTTCATTTAAAAACAAAAATTGTCAATAATCCTGAATAATTGAAAACTATGCCAAAAAGTGATTAATTTTTAAAATATGCACCTATATAATGGAAACTAAGCAGCCATTTAAAATTATGTCCTCATATACGTTTATCGGCACGTATATACCTACAATATAATTTTGAGAAAACAAACACGTCAATAAAAGCCCTTTTCATAGAAAAATTTAATTGTATATTTGTAGAAATTTTTGAAAAATGGTAATAGTTGTCATTTTTAAGTCATGAAATTACAGGAATGTTCCTTTTTTTTTCCCTAGGTGTTTGTATCTTCTAACTTATCTAAAATGAACATGCATTGGAGCTTTGGAGGCACAGTGTTTAAGACCCCAGTTGCTAAGCAAAAAATGAGCAATTCAATCCACCAGCCGCTCCTTGGAAACTCTGTGGGGCAGTTCTACTCTGTCCTGTTGTGTTGCTATGAGTTGGAATAAACTTGACCACAAAGAGTTTTGTTTTGGTTTTTGGTTGAACATGCATTGATCAAACAAGGAAATTTTTAATTTAGTTTAAATTTAAAACACACAAATCCTTCAAACTGTGGATCCTATATGTATTTTTAGTGGAAGAAACAATTTGAAAAGGGGTCAGAATGTTTGGGTTCTACATCTAGCTTCCGTTGGTCACACAATGCCTATGGGTCATTTTTTCATCTATTAAATGAAGGGCATGGGTTGGATCAGTATTTCCTAAAGGGTGATTGATATAGAAGGTAATGTTAGGCAGTACACAGGGTAAGCTTTTTAATCGTTACACTTAAGATGTTCATTTAATTTATATTAGAAAAAATTGTAACCAACACATAGACACACAGTTTCACAAATAGCATCAGTTAGAACCCACCACACATCTGTCAGCTTGTCATACTGTGGTGACTTGCATGTTATTGTAATGCTGGCAGATATACCATGAGTGTTTCAAATACCAGCAGAGATATCCATGGTGGATGGGTTTCAACAGAGCTTCCAGACTAAGACAGAGCAGGAAAAAAGATCTGATGATCTACTTCTGAAAAGTAACTAAGGAAAATCTTATGGATCACAACAGAACATTGTCCAACTCACTTTGGACACGTCATCAGGAAGGATCAATTGCTGGAGGAAGACATCATGTTCACCTTATCATGTGAAGAGGCCCAGCTGCCGGGTTGTGCACAGGCTGCAGATGTTTGGAGAACACTGTGCCACAAAGCACAGAAGTAAGTGGCTAAATCTCCAGGCTGAGACTCTGGGATATTGAAGATACTAAAGGTGTTCTTTAAATTTTTTGTCTGCCTGCTCACGTTGGCTTGATTGAGTTAAGGTCAGAGATATAAGGCCTTTCCCAGGATCGTATCTGAACCAATGGAACTTTAAAAATGTTATCTCTTGAGAAGTACAATTAAGAATGATGTGTGTATATGTCGTGGGGTTGTTAACCAATGTCATAAAACAATATGTGTACTGACTGTTTAATGAGAAACTATTTGTTCTGTAAACCTTCACCTAAAGTACAATAAAAAAAAAAAAAGATGTGACCTGTTTGAGTCATATCAATGGAAATTTCCTGAATAAACATGGTCAAAGATTTGGGACCGTCAAGCATCATATTTACCTTATTTTAAATTATGCTTGTGTCATAATATATTTGTTGTTGTCATAAACAGGTGTTATATTTAGGACATGTACTCTCAAATTGGTGATTGGAATATAGAGGAGAGTTGTATAAAGCTAGTGAACTGGATATGGTCCATAATGTCCACTTTTATCTTGAATATCACAGTATTGTTTTCATTTCCTGTTTCTATGAGGATCTTGTTTTCTCCTTGCTTGTACATGATAGAATTATAGAATTTTACTAATAAAAGTGCCCGTAAGCAAAAAAAAAAAAAGAATGATGTGTGCTCCCTCCTGGATACTCCATACTCAGGAATGAAGGACTCTGTTCCAACAGATGTAGGCTGCTCATCCCCACATAGACAGAGAACCACAGGCAAAGGTGATCCATGAATGACTGACTACTTTGCCAAACATAGACTTTCTTTTCACAGTCCCCATAGGAGAGTCTTCTAGCTCTAACTGCCTGTCTATAACTTTCAACTGTGGAGAAGGTAACTAAGACCTGCTCTTTCTATTCACATCTCCAGAGCCCGCCAACTCACAGCACAGCTGCAAAGAGAAAATCATCAATGAAGCTCCCAAGGACTTCTCCATGTTTCTGTTCATCAGATTTACTGATGCTTCCTCTGAGTGCATATTTATAATTCTGTTGTCACAGGAAGCTGAAAGGCTTCCCAGCCAATCAGAAATTATATCCATTCGCCTGTTCACAGACACACACAGTGACTCTGAATCTCTGAAGAAAGCATATGCAAAGACGGTCATGTTAGAACCAGGTGCAGGTTTGTTGGAGAGGTACATCATCTACTGTTTGTCACCTAGATCACCCGCTTTACTTTTTTGTTCTATAATAACTCTTGAGCATCTACCATGCACAATTGTAAATAAAAAACGTTCCTCCCCAAGGAAAACCTAGAGAGGTTCTTGTCTCTCCTTCGCCATGTAGAAGGCTATTAAATGATGTACAAATCTAGTTACTAGCACTGTTGTTGCTGTTGCTGTTACTTGCCATCAAATTGACTCTGACTCATGGCACCTTTATGTCCTGCACCAACTTCATAATCATTGGTATGTTTGAGTCTATTTTTGTGGCTATTGTGTCAATCTTTATCACTGAGAATTTTCCTCATTTTTGTTGACTCTCTACTTTACCAAACATGATGCACTAGAAAAGGACTTTATGGTTGGTAAATCGGCACAGTTGCTTATTATAGTGATGTTATATCTGAGCCCTGCTCCATAAAGTTTTTGTGTATTCATCTTAGATTTTGAATTTAATTATACCAGAAGTAAGAAATTGTCATTTTCTATGCATAATACCTACAATATAAAGGAAACCAAACAAGAAAACCATTACTGTCAGTTCAAGTAATTGGCTGGGCTAAAGCCAACATGGAAAAATGGGTGACTCTTAGATGTACCATAGAAAAACAGCATAATCAAATGTGAGAGAGTAAAGTTCAAAATTCCAGGCAACGTGACGCTATATTCAGAAGCACCATGCCATCCCTCAGCAGCAAAGATCAGAAAAACTAAGTCAAACAGAGTCACACATCAATCCTGAAACCCTAAGTATCAAATGAAGAGATAAAGAACTCAGTCAAGCACCAAATGGAATAAGAAACTGACCAAGAACAGTGAGCGAGGAGAGATACATGCATAGGTCCGCTATCAGGTACTGCAGCTCCACCATCTTGGACTCCTATATGATGTAAGTGAACGGGGGGTATGAGAAAGCAACACCACGGAGCTTCCAATAGGAGACAGAACAAATGGTAACCCATGATATAGGCTTTACCATCCCCGACCCTTCTTCACCCCCAGTTAGCCTCCTTTGCTTCCTGTAGCCACAGTCTCTTGGACAGGAAGCACCCTGGTGTCACTTGGATCCCACCCACCCGCACTGGCAGGCTCCCTGAGTGCCTTTTCTTGGCTACTGGTGTTGCTTTTTTCTGCTTCTTTAGATTTCTTCCTTACCTGTCACCAGTTCCCCCTCCTTTCTCTCAAATAATTGGCTCCGTGGGCCTTCTTTGCTTCTTCCCAAAAGGCTGTGAAACAACGATTGACTGTGAAACTGCTTTCCGGCCTGTGATGTCATGCTGGTAGGACCCCCGAGGCTTGTTTGTTTGTCTGCTCTGATTTGTTCTGTTTTGGTTTGTTTGTTTGTTTTCCTTTTCTTTTCTTGGCTTGGGAGCCCCTTCTAGCCAGGCAGTACCACTTGGCTTGGAAGCTAGTCCCTTACTCTGCCCAGACACACAGGGGCATCTCTGGGGACATTTCTTTCTTCTCATTACTTTTTTGTTTTTTTTGTTTTGTTTCTTTGTTTTGTTTTCTTCTCTCTCATTCCCTTTTTATCTTTTTTCATTTCCAATTTCTCAATTTATTCATTTTGTTTCTTTTACACTTTTTTTCACGTATGTTTTTCCTTATTTCTCAGTCTCTCATCTCTCCACTCCAACAGCAAGCTCCCTTAGCACTCTCTTTTGTTTATGCGTATGGTTTTGGCTCCTGTTTCTCTCTCCTCTCTCTCCTCTTTCCCATACCCATCTTAGCTCCACACATCACAATCTACCCCCTCCTTCCTGCCTACTTGTACTGACCACTGAACATCACAATCCCAAGCAGCACAAGCATGGCCTACTGGATCCTGATGTACACTGATTCCTGGTCCAGACTGTCAGCCCTGGTATGTGCCACAAACAGTCCATCCAAGCAACTGCCTTTCAGCTGGACCTGTCCTGCTATACCATACCTGAATAAATGACCCTTCCCATTGGAGAAGGAGGTGAAAAGTATCGTACCCACAGACGAGCAAAGAAAGAACACACAGCCTGCCTGCTCAGACATAACCAAATAAAACAAAAAAGCAGGACAAAACAAACAAATCTACAATCAATAAATGCGGAAAATAACCACTGAATGCCCTGAAGACAGCAGACAATATCAAAACATTTACAAAAAAAAGACAGGAAGGCTCCAGTAAGCATCCAAAATAAAACATCAGATGACCTTCTAGTAGAAGAAAAGGCAATAGACTTACCTGATAGGGAATTCAAATCTCTAATATTCAGAATTATCCAAGAGTTGAAGCAAAAAGCGGACAAAAAAGAGGAAAACATAGACAAATTCATGGAAAATACAGGCAAAAAATGGAAGAATTCAAGAAAATAATACAGAAACAAAATACTAACATAAATTCACAACTAGAAATCATACAAAAACAACAATTAGAAATCCAAAAGATAAACAACAAGATTTCAGAAATGGACAGTGTCATAGAAG